CGTTATTTATCACCCACCTCTAATGCACATGGGACTTGTCAACTTATGTCTCTGGGTGACGCGTGCAGTACGGTTGGTTTATTTATGCTCACTGGTTGGTTTAGTAAGGCAACATCGTTCATGAGTCATTGAAATTGTAGCTTACGTGGGGCACACTATAAGTGTCCGGAAAGAATAAGAAAAAAATACTATAAATGGTCAGAAATGAATTTATTGTTTCTCAAAATATTCTCCGTTAGCATTAATACACTTTTTCGTATGAATGAACCAATTTTGAAAACATTTATGCCACTCCTCCGTGACAATCTCTGAAACGTATTTTTCATACTCTTCGACAGTCTCTTCAGGTGATGAAAATCGTTGACAGCGTAACTGGTTCTTAATTTTTGGAAATAAATAAAAGTCACAAGGTGCCAGGTCGGGACTGTACGCGGGATGGCTCATAAGGTCAAAGGTCAAAGTTCAAAAATTCATTTGTCTGTCTGGCCATGTGAGAACTGGCATTATCGTGGTACAACATGATACGGCGTTTATGGTTATTGTAAACAAACAGTTTATTGATGTAGAGGTGAAAAAAAATCATAGATACAAAAGTTGAAGTTGAAATTATTGACCCGACCATAGATAGTTTAGTGATGGCCAACTGTACTGCCAACTACAAATCGATTAATTAATTGAATTAATCGATTGGTTTAATTGAATCTGTTGCAATAACTAGGTTTTATACAATGAAATGGAGTTTGCGATTTAAAAAAACGTGATTCAATACTGAGTGATGATATTATTACTTGAGATTAGAATTTTTTCTTACACAACCTTCAAATTTAAAATTTCCGTAATCTAATTTTAAATCATCGAGTATGTAACCAGAAATAGAGACGAAATGTTATTTAATCTGTTTGAAAACTATTCTGTCAAATCATTACGGTGACAACTGCACTCCGATTGGCCAGCCCGAATTCGACGGGTGTCGTCAATTATTTCACTTCAAATCTATGAAATTTGATTCCGTTTGTTTTGTAATTAGATGTTTTGCTGTTTTTCCCACACCACCGAATGGAACAGCCCCCATTATTAGATACATTATCTTTATTATAATAAATACAGAATATTTTTGGAATATACAGTCAGTCGTTGGCGCTGTACTATTTCAGTTTTCTTATTTGTGATTTCAGCGCAAACGAGAATTGACATTTAAAAGTAATATAAGGCCCATTTACCTGACGAGTTGCCAGTGATGGATGCCCCTTATTTCGTCTCTATTTCTGGCTATATACTCGATGTTTCTCGATGTCAGATATTCGTTCGATTGTAATTAAATTTTCGATTCACTAATCGATTACAAAAACTTGTAATCTACTTAATGTGTGTCTATCGGTAAGGATCTTATAATTGGACTTCATTATTGCTTAAGTTTTTGTTCTCTAAGATAGTTTTAGTCTTCCAATAAGTTAAAATAACACAAATTGAAACTAAAATTTACCATGTACTTTTCGATGAAGGAAAACAACGTGATGAGAGTAGCACGTCGAAGAAGGTTCACAACCATTGGAAAACGTGTGAAGGCACCAACGCGCACTGGACCAGTGTCGCGGATTATGGCCTAAGGGCTCTTACATATGAACACGGTACGACGTCGTATCGTGGAAATTCACGGCGCCGCTCCCCAGTGCCGCATTTACTATCACTTTTTATTTTTATGGCTCCATCATTATGAGAAATGATGATTTTACCATTGTCACGGTTGAAAGAAAAAAAACGAAACAAAAAAAAAATCGCTGAGCTCTAATAGGACATTAACCGGTGTTGGTAAGTTGGACCACGGGAGTACTCAGTTGAGAATGTAAAACAAAAGACAACAAATTATAAATATATGTTATTTAAGTGGATAAATTTACATAGAGTAACAATATGGGGGGAGAACACTAAAGTTAAGAGGTTATTTATGTTAATGGGGTGGGGGAATTTTGGAGAAAGTAAGTTATAAAGTGGAACAGCAATATTAGGACAATTGAAAAAAATGTGTTCGAAGGTACCGTCTTCTAGGCCGCACTCGCACAGAGAGTGATCTTGGACTCTGATTTTACGCAAAAATACAGGTGTGCAAACATGGCCTAAGCGCAAACGAGTAATAGTGGAAATGATGTTTTTAGGCAAATCGCGACGTTTAAAAAACCACGGTTTAGTGGGTAGATTTGGTTGGAGGTTACCATAGTGTCTACCAACAGTTTGTCGTGATTCCTGCCAAAGGACCGACCAGGAGGCTAGCATTTGGGTTTTGGTCATGGCGAGCAGTGCCGCTTTAATTTGTTATTTAATATTCACAGATGACATAAGGTTTATTATTAAATAACCCTAGTCGAGGAGCGTCCTGTAGTATGGGACAAAACATCAGAAGAATACGAAGTCATCTTTGAATATTGAATAACAAATGAATGCGGCACCGTGAGTTTCTACGATACAATACGTGCCCAGTGTCGTGACACGACGCGACGTCGTATCGTGTTTATGTGTAAGAGCCTTAAGGGCGCGTCCCCATTATGTCTAACGTTTTATTTATCGTTGGACTGTCGCGACTAGCCAGTTCCCATATCACGACTATCTGTCGGGATTATGTCGAGGTCGTTTATTTTATCGTTGAACGACTGTCGTGTGTAGCTGTTCCCATTAGATCGTGACCACATTTTATCGGTTCACGGCAGCCGCCTTGTCGTTTGCACGACAGAATCGTTAGAAGCTCACATTTTTGTCTGACGAATGTCGTTCTAGCCGTGTCGTTCTTCTTTCATTGTCACGACAGTCTGTCATCGTAACGTCAACTATCTGTCGTTACGACGTAATGGGAACGCGCGCCTCTTCATATACTGACCAAGCCACACCACCTTCGATGGAGTTGATAATAAGGATACGAAAACAAATTTTGATATTTTTTAAATACAGATTTTATTTATAAAATTATTTAGGTACATATGAATTGTATATTAACACGATTCTTACAGGATATCACCAGGAGACCCATGTTGAGTGACACGTGCACGGATCGATGCCGGGTTCACCTTATTTAAAACAGTCAGATTCATAATTTCAGTACAGAGTACTAAAAAAGAACTACCTCAAAAGTCATTCATCCCCTAGTTTGCCACCCTTAAAGGTGGAACATTTTCTTCAAATTTAAATGGGACCACTTCTGAGGGTATCATCCTCTTTCCAATAAAAAGAATCGGTTCAAAAATCAAAAAAAAATCGGAAGAAATCAAAATCGGTTCAAAAATTGGAGTTGGGAGAGGAGTCGCGTAAAATAGACACAAAAAAACATAGTCGAATTGAGGACCTCCTCCTTTTTTGAAGTCGGTTAAAAATAAACTAAGTTATTTATCTACCAGAATCTCACAATGGGGAATGCTTGAAAATTGTTAGCATCACTTGATATTACAATTGAAGACTCTAGGGAAAGAATGGTCAAAGTTACTTCAGCAGAATTTTTGAAAAAAAATAATTTCTAAGTATTGGGGAAAAAGACATGCACAAATACTAACTGAAATAAAATCAATGCTGACATAAATGCATGTAACGTTATGTAATCCGTTTTAACTAAAAATATTTATAAATCTTCTCCAACTTTTGTACCATTTGGTCGCAAGCATTTAAAAGGTGTTTTAAGTGACTTCGATCATTCTTTGCTGGTCCACTTTCTGGGCATTGTCAATTATTTTATATTTTATGTAGTTCTCATTATTATGCATGACGAATATCGGATTCTACACCACACGAGTTCTTTAATTTACAAAGACGATGAAAAGATTTTTGTCCAGTTTTCTAGTTCTAAATTAAAGTGCATTACTATGTTCGTTCTTGGAATCAAAGAAAATCTCATTCCATGATATCATCAGCAAGCAAATCCCGTCGAACGCAAGAACCGGGACATAAAAACACAATTGTCGATTTTTGTCAAAAACGAACATATCGCGGCCGAAATACTTACCATATATTAGATTTGCAATGAGCAATGCTGTTTGCACAACCACTGGCTGTACTATACATTTAATGTTTGCCCGGGAAGTGAGAACTCATCTCAAAACTAGAACTGATTATATACTGTTCTAGACAAAGAAAACTAAAATACACACTTTACATGAGAAAGTTTTAAGATAGTTTTAGAAACCCAATGAAGTTAAAAGTACAAAAATATAGTCTATAGTCCATTTGTTTAGGTACTTCACTAAATGTAAACAATCTTGATACATCTTTTTATTGAAACACATGCTTTACAAATCAATAGGTATAAAAATAGACATGCAATTTCATATGAAGCTAAGTATTTGTATTTTGTATTTGAAGGTAAGGGAAAATCATTTTATAAATGTATATTTTATTAAATAGACATCTCAAGATTGTTTACATTTATTTAAGTACCTAAACAGATGGACTATAGTATGTCTAGACACATGTGTCTGAACGTAAATATCACTTAGGCCGCGATCCCATTATGTCGTAACGTTTTATTTACTGTTCGACGACTGTCGCGTCTAGCCTGTTCCCATCTGTCGTGACTGTGTCGTGGACGTTTACTTTATCGTTGTAGTATCTAGCTGTTTCTACTAAATCGTGACGATAATTTATCGGTTCACGGTAGCCGCTGTCGTTTGCACGACAGAATCGTTTGACGCTGCGATTATCTGACGTCACATTTTTGTCGTGACGATATATTTATGTTCTAGCTCTTCCCATTGTCACGACAATCTGTTGTCGTAAAGTCAAAAAAGTCGTGAACAACAGTTAATCGTATTGTTCTATATGTGAACAACTTCATTTAAGTATACAAGCCGACATTTTAAACTATACCACTATCTATCTTCACCACATAGTGGGAATGCGCCTTTACTAGATTTTTTGTAGAACAGAATTTGAAAAATTTCTGAACGACTAAAATTTCAAATTTTTTCACCAAACTCCCGGTCGGGCGACTTTGACTTTGACGTACACTGACAGATGACGTTTTCGAGCAAAATGTTGCCAGCCATTAACTTCGAAAATTATCTGCATTATTACTACTGTTAAACTCAAGTGATGCCAACCAAAGAAAAGTAACTTTTTTTTAAAGAAAATGTCAAGTGCATACGACCTCTATTTTTTTAAGGTTAATAGCGCCACCGGCGTCAATAAAACACCGGGTTAAAAACCAGGCTTTTGCCCACCTCTGGTGGTGAATAATTGAGTTCAAGTAATTCAGCGTGGCAGCACGGATTCTTGCTACATCATGGCGGCACAGTATTTTTTTCTAGCCATCTGTCACGCCACCGCTACGTTTAATCCTGCTTCTTAAACTGAAAGTAAAATGAAACTACAATTTAGTATTTCAAACAACTAATCTATTTTGCGATGTTTCGCTTAAAAATTATATTTGTGGTTTAAAGCCACAAATATAATTGGGGGCTCTTAAAGTCGAGTGCCGTAAGTAATAGGTACGTGTTTTTAAGATCTAATTATAATAGTAAATAAAACTATGAAACAGAACCAATATTTAACGTATAAAGAAAGAAAAGCATTTTTTTAAATCAATTTTAAGCCATTTATTAGGTCTAGGTCTAGGTCTAGGGTAGGTAAGATTCCACCGTAAAGCCTCTTCTTAAGACGAAAGGTATACAAATGCTACAAAACAAAAAACCAAAGAGATAGAATAGAACAAGTATAATATAAAATATTTTTTTTATAAATTTTATGGCCCAAACGGCAAGACCAGACACAGTGGCATGATTTTTAGGCCAATTTAACTAATCAGGAGGCAGTATAGAGTTTGAATAGCGTCCTAATTGTTATGTAACACGCTTTTGTGGTATAGATCTCTTCAAATTAAAAGAACAAGGAAATTTCTCTTCTCTTCTTAGTACTTTTCATCCATTTATGTACAAAATGTCACTTTAGTTAGATTAGATTTGTATTTAACGCACACACTCTACATAACCCCGCACTAGGGAAACCCTGTGTCGCGGGTGCCATGGACACACACATAGACAACCACAAATTACACCCAAACTCACGAGAGAAATAAATGTAGGTCATACAAATATTTCTCCCGGCCCGGGAATCGAACGCGACCTCTGCTTGGTAGTCCGGTATGGTAACCGTTCGGCCACGGAGGCAGTTGACATTATAGTTTAAAACTTTCTAGTAAATTGTTTGAAATCCAATGGTGCTGGGTTATCTATATAGTTAAACCATTCACGTATTTATTCCTTGTTGGTAAACAATTTTTTATTTAAAATCAACGCTGTGAGTACCTTTTACTTATTCCTATTGTTACCTATTTTTCAAAATGCCAACACTGGCTAATCTTTATTTGTGATGGCTAGGCAGACTAACATAGCTGCGACCCATATGTTCGATTTCACTTTTGTAGTCAAGCTCCCTGTAAATTATAAACTTTTCTTTATTATTTCTACGTCAAACGTCGCCAATTAGGTTGCCAAGTCCTTTATATTATATGTACGTAAACCTGGTATCGTCCTGTGTACTGGCGGGTTTAGGTAACAAGTCTTGGTAGCTTTATTCTGGATAAATCGGTAGATTGTCTGTGGCGTAGTTCGTTGGGAACATCTATCAAGAGGAATTTGGCGGATGGCCTTTTTTTTCTGTTCTACACGTCGGGTCGAGAGGTTCCAGGTTTTAAGAGTCTGGCAGAGATTTATCCCATTGGGGGCATGGTTCTGCCAACGTGTTCTTTTATAATGAAAATAAGAAATAGCCAGATGCGGTAATTTTGTATCTCCGAACCCCAAACAAAGTATAAAACCCGTGTCATCGGACCACATGGTAAGTTGACCTCTCGACTTTTTCCTTCGTGAGATGTTTCTTCCATTGTGTCAATGTACTGTAACAATCTGTATTGTAGCAGGGTTTTTTTTGTACCTAGTAATTTCAACTTTCATCGTTAACTAAATAGCTGAAACATAATCGCCGTAACTTCTGTTCAGCTGTGAACGATCACATGTCATATGCTCCACAGGTGGTCGGTATTCACGTGTACTAACGTTGCACCTGTAGAAGCTAGGCTGCCTTCGCGGCGAGTCTGGTATGTAACCTAAAAGTGGATCCAGTAACCTCCAGGTCAGTGACATATAAGTGTCATGTCCGTGCCACACAAGTACTTTCAGAAACTCTTATTGCAGTGTGTTAGCTCTAAGTGTTTATATATATAAGTGGTTATATATCTAACTTAAGGTTAACCGTTTATAAATGTAACAAGTAAAAACTAAAAGTATGTCTTTTAAACTCGAAATGTAACCTCGGGAAATTAAAATAATACAGTCGGTGCCCTAAACTTAGCTATTCACTATTTGTACTACGTAAGTGCTATACAAATAGTGGATACTTAAGTGAGGGCACCGACTGTACTTAACAATGTAACTACTCTTAATATATAACTTATATGTTAACGTACATAAATAAATAAACGGCTGGTTATTTCAATTTAGTTGTATGTGAGGCGCCCTTCTTTCACCTCGATTGTACAGAAGGATCGCGACATCCCGTGTATTTTGTGACCCAGTGTTTTTGACTACGTGCATTAAGGAGAGCTATCAATACTTGTGATTCATTATCAAAGCATCAAAAAAGCTAATTGAGTAAAGCCTGTGGAAGCTAGGGTTCTAAAGTTGACATAGGTTATGTTTATAACATTGTTCTGAATTTCGCTTCAGATGTCTGTTCGTAGTAGCAGAAAACAACAAGTTTTCAGTTTGTTCCCAGAAATAATAAAAAAACTCCCACATATTCCGAAATCTGCCAAACTCTGCCACATTTAATATAATTTATTATGTTATTTTATCCATTTATTTGAAAAGTCGTGTCCGCCATCTTGGATTTAGAAATAAATGCTATATTTGTAATGAGCACCCCCAAATACCTTGAAAACGATACCCAACTTGCCATTATTCGAAAAATCGTGCCCGCCATCTTGGATTCAGAAATGAGTGGCATATTCGTAATGAGCACCACGAATACCTCGAAAATGACTCCAATATTGCATTTATTTGAAAAGTCGTGTCCGTCATCGTGTATTCAGATATAAATGCCATTTCCATAAGGATTACCAAAAATAAATTTTTGAAAATTCTTGTCACTTGACATTGTCGATCGACAGTAACGATCGACAAAACCGAGCATATCTGTATGCACCTGATCGACATTGTCGACCGACAGTAACGATCGAGAAAATCGAGCACATCTGTAGGCACCTGATCGATAATGTCGGGCAAATCTGTAGGCACCTTTAACTTAATGATGAGTTAAGCAAGATACAATTTCCCCACTTTTGAGGGAAATGTTATTCCATGGCATCATTATTTGTATATTTGTGTGCGTGGTGACGAGCGTAGATACAAGTTGCTTACGCCTACATGAATTTGGTTTTTGCCTCACTTATGACAGTTCGTTTTATATGAAACTATCATTCTATGCGTTATTAATCTAAGATTTTTTTATTCACGACTCCAAAAACCTGTCACGACTGCATTACCCCACGAAGTCTGAGGAGATAGTGGAGTACATCAGACATAAAGCTAAATACACCCTGACGTTGAGCGGTTGGAGTCCCGCCACAACGTGAATTTCAATTCGTTTGTGGTGAGACGACCGAACATCTATCGACCTTAATGAACGAAGAGTTTTGGCCGAAGAGTGACATATATCGGCGATTCCGCGGCCGGTTACCTGACACCAGATTGCACCACACGTCGCCGACAAGTGCAATTCGTGTAGATAGTCAGAAACAGTGTTATAGTATATTGTATGCTTAGAATAAAAACGCATAGAATTATAATAAAATGATAGTTTCATATCAAACGAACTGTCACAAGTGAGGCAAAAATCAAATTCATGTAGGCTAGTTTTAGTAGTAGGTTAATTTTCGGTTTTAGTGAATATTTATATAAAAATACGAGTACAAGTTGAAACGCGTTACTTCCTTGTGGAATGTGATGTTAGAATCTATTTTCTGTTTGTCTGACGTATTTTTACACTCATTTACCGCACATTTCGTCATTTTTAGCTAAAATTCTTGATCTGTTCGCGGTGCAAGTTGACCTTGAGCACTGAAGGCCCGCCCGCTCGTGTAGGCCCTTTTGGCGCGCTTCAATTTGCCTCACTTAGCGTGTGCGGACTAGGTCTCTATGCGTTATTATTCTAAGGTTGTATGTATATTATTCCTTAAGGTATATATCATATGACTGTTTTATTGTAATATTGTATTATTATGTATTTATGGGTCTTTGTAACCTGAATACAAATAAATAAATAAATAAAAATAAAAATATACAAACATATATGGATAACTAGGCATAACCTAAAACGCAAATTATAGAGTCCATGAACGGCTCTTCGTCGTTATTGGAGCAGATTTCGCCATCCTTTTTTTACACAGTTATTTTCATCATGATCATCATATCAACCGGAAGACGTCCACTGCTGAACATAGGCCTCCCCCAAAGATTTCCAGGCCAGCCGAGTGGACGCGACGTGCACCCATCCGTTACATTAATTAATAGTTATTTTAATTAGCAAACATACGACATTCTTTTTTTTTAAACTCATTAATACTTCTGTGTACAGTATTTTAATACTCATGATAGTTCTGTGTACAGAACTTTAGAAGAACTAAAAAGAGCGCCTTTATGATGTGGTTTACGAACTTATTTATTTAGTTGACAGACAATACAGGAGTTGAAAAATATTATTAATATACAATACCTTTAAAAGGGCCGCAGTTACATAGTGAATGAAATATTTTTTCCAAGAAACCAAGGAATATGTTGAATATTATACTCTTCACATTTTTCCCTGGAAAGTATAACAAAATGTTAATGGGAAATATGTAAGATGTAGCATGCCGCCATGACAATGCTATTATGTCCACATTTAGCTGTTAAATTCGAGTGATAAAACGGCCATTATATCACAAGAGCGAACATGGCGAGAAAAGTGACACATTTTTGACGTACCGCGAGTGCTGCGATCCAATGGCCGCAAAAGTGTGTCGCAGTGCCAAACATGGCCGCAAGGTCATAGCTGATTTTAAAATATTTTGACAGTTCTGCACGATATATTGTCAACGCAAAAATTAAGCGCGACAAACTAAATAAAGAGAAATAATAAAAAGGAACAGGTTGTTACATATCAATTATTGGAAAAAGGTGAGAATATTATTAATACTGTCCTTTCATTGAGAGTAATTACGTAATTAAATACGTAAATAATAAGTAACTACAAAAACCTGCCATTTTTTGTTGATGATGCAATTAAAGGATTACAATTTTCGCAGTGATTACAGTTTACGTAGTTTCATATCTTTATCCTTGTCTTTCAAAATGCATAACAATAGTGAATTATCAAATAAACAAAAGAACGAATGACGCTAATGCGGTGTCGTACCGCCTCAGTATTCGCAATAAAAAAGTAAAATTTTAATAATAGCTATATTAGCTTTATCGACTGCGATCAATATGACACGGTTTATCACATATCGCATGCCATATACCACCATGCTACACATATTGGTGGAGTAAAAGGAACAGACTTTATTTTGATTCAAATATTTTGAGCTTTAAGAGGAACAAATAAAGTCTTATAAGTATTTTTAAGTACATTAAATTTGCTTTTGTTTATCAGCTTACATGTTTTTCATTAAAGATTTTACATGTTAATCATTACGCTAAATTCAATATTTAAGAAAGATAGGGTACGAAGAACAGTCATCGTATTACATACATAAAGCTACAAGTTTAGAAACACGGATAGAAAAAGATCGCGTACTTCCCGATATGGTGAAAAAAGATATTTATATCGTAGTACGCGGATAGGTTACCAAAGCAAAAAATCAAATATGAGACGACCTGAATGTGAAAAATATAAAAGAAAGATCAACGGCCCGTAAAAACTCTAATAAACAGAGGTGATATTTGTGCACTTTTATGAGGTTTGGAGAGGTCCGAAATTCACAAAAACAAGATGGCCGCCATACAAATTTCGAAGCCTTCTATCACGCAACCTATTAGATATAGGTACGGTGTGCTCGAAGGAATGGCATAGAGGGTAACAGTGGGTAACTGCCTGTATCAAAATTAATTCAAGATGACGAATTCAAAATGGCAGCCGAAGAAAAACTTGCATCGATTCGGCTGAAAATTGGCATGCGAGGGTCTTTAGGAGTCCTTAATCATAATATGGAGTCAAAAGTTTTTTTCGTCATTTTTTAAAATTGCCACCATATAAGCTTAAAGCTAAGCTTTTCGTTAAAAATAGCTGCCGAAAGAGACTTGCTCTCACAGGGCTGGAGATTGGCATGTGGAGATCTCTCGAAGTGCCGGATAACAATTTGGGCTCGAAATCGGTTTTTCGCAATCCTCGCCGAACTAAATAAGGAAATAGCGCTCGTTTCTTTTTTAAGATTTCACAACTGTCAAATTGGTATTTTTTTGCCATTTGAATTTGGAGCATACAATGCTTCAAATCCAACCAGATTTCCTTTTTTAATTCTATATGTTTGGAGAGTTTTTCTTATACTTACGACTATAAGTTGTGAGCATGTGAGTGTTTGGTACGGCAATGTCTATTAAAAATCCGATTTTATCAATCCTGTTTTGTTTATTATTATTTACAGTCGTCATGCATCGGATAATTCAACCATTTTGAATAATACGTATGTAGTTTTAAAACAACGCTCATTAGGTGATTTAAAGATGTAAGCCGCGATACACATATAATAAAAGTGTTAAAATTTACGTTAAAATCATTGACTTACAAATAAATGGACGACGGGTCTAATTCAAAAACCACGAAAAAAATGTCCCAAATCAACCTATTTAAACGTAGTGACATGTAAAGGAATATGAAAAAGTTAAACGTTGAATTTAAATTGTAATGTCATCGCAGTACTATCTAATTTTGCTTGCTTCGCTGTCAGTCGAACAAACGAAGACTAAAGCGTGAATGACGCTCTGTATACGATTTTAACGCCCTATAAGTTCGGACACTTTAGCGCGGACCAGACGTCCATATAATTGTAAGTCAATGGTTAAAATACATAATATTTATATCCTTCAAAGACTATCAAAACAGCTTTGTAATATTGTATAATTAAATAAGTGTTAGCTTGTTCGAGCCGGCTCGCATTCGCGTAGCGGTCGTGTCAATCTCGGCCACCGCATCTTGCTTTGCGGGTCATGCAAGATGGTCAGTTTTACAAACCATAAAGCTGAACAACGAATGTAGATTTTTTTAATACATAATATCAAATGCCGGGACGAACAAGTCGCGCGTTTGATGGTAAGCTACACGGCTGTCCATAACAGTCGAAGTGCCACTCAGAGCTTTAAATCGCAAAGATCTGAGGGGCACTGCCACTGCGCCCGACACCTTGAGACATGAACCGACAAGTCCTATGTCTGCCCCACGCTGCCCCAAGCCTGTAATTTCATCAGCTGGGCGGCTGAAGTACGTAAGGCAGTACTTCCCTGGACGAACTCTTCCACAAGGAGCTCTACCTCTGCACAAAGTAATAGCTATTAGCAACTCCCCTAGAGTACCTACCCCTACTTGAATCAGGCGGCGTGAGTCGCGTCCTGCAAATACGCTTTGTTTACCGAATTGAGCACTGATGGTAAAAGGTTGTACGTGTTTTGCTCATTCATATCGTGCCATGCATTATCAACATAATTATTATAGACATCTAATAAGTCACCAAAATATCCGAGCTTTATTCCAATTTAACCGACCGGTTCTGTAATTTGGACCACGGGGTCGCTAAATTGGACTTCAATAAGCTCTGAGGTAAAAAAAAGAAATAAAAAATACAATGTAACATAATATGACCTATTTAGCTAATAAAAACTAAGCTCTTCACATAAGATAACGTAAATGTCAGAATTTTGAGTACATGGTTCTGGATTCCAATTATGGAACCGCACAAATTGCGTCCAATCGACTTTGGGAGCTTTTTATCATTGTAATTTCTTTTGCATTTAACACATTCATTATCTTTGTCTTCTGATCCAAGGCTGACCATTTTAACATACATTCAATTCACACTTTTCAAAATCTTTTTTTGATATTTTTAATGTAAATTCCATAGATCCATGGTAAGATAAGAGTGTAGAATTTAAAGGCATCGAGTATATAACCAGAAATAGAGACGAAATGTCATTTACTTTGTTTGAAAACTATTCTGCCAAATCATTAGTGTGACAACTGCGCTCCGATTGGCCAGCCCGAATTGGAAACAATGGACGGGTGTCGCCAATTGTTTCACTTCAAATCGAACAGTTTAACTTGAGCTTTGTGTGATACCGTTTGTTTTGTAATTAGATGTTTTGCTGTTTTTCCCCCACCGCCGAACAGTATGGCATTGTTAGAGATGTTTATCTTTATTACAATAAATACAGAATATTTTTTGGAATATACGGAGACGTACGCACAGGTCAGTTGTTGGCGCTGTTCTATTTCAGTTTTCTAATTTGCGATTTCAGCGCAAATGAGAGTTGATATTTAAAAGTAATATAAGGATCATTTGCCTATGAATTGCCAGGGATGGATGGCCATCATTTCGTTGTTATTTCTGTATGTATGCATGAGTACTTACTTTTAGAAAAGTCATAAAAAATGGTTTTTTTTTCTCGTAAAAAACGAACACGTGGAGTCTTACTTTGAGTCACTTTCGCACTGGCCGTGGTTTGAAAACGGTCGCTTATTCGCAAAGCAATACACTGCTAGCATATTCAGCTACTTAGATTTGTGAGTGGTCCAGTTAGTAATAGCTTGATCATAATAGGCGCTTTAAGGTGTGGAGGTGCTGCTGGTGCTGGGGGCGTTCTGGTGGATTGTAATGGTGTGTAGCCTGGATAGCAATAATAGCCTCCGCAGCCTCCAGCATCTTATTTAGTAAATTTAGCAATTCAAACGTTGAAGTCCAGTTCATAGATATGTAATCGGTTTATTTATTCGGTTTTAACAAATATACTTTAAAATGCAAACTGTATAAATATAGCTAGTAAACGATTCAAAAAGATAAATATTGGTCTATTCGCTACCGCGGTCGCGCAGAGAGTGACGATAGAAAGAAACAAAATCAGAATGCGAGGTAAAATGGAACAATTTTAAATTTAAATATGAGTAGAAGAAGAAAAAACGATACGATACGAATGGAGAGAGGCGATACAAAAAGGTGGGATGACGGTATACGGAAGTCACACCGTCACAAAGGCGTCATAAAACCAACATCCAAAAGCTGGAGCATGTGCGTGCAGTGTGAGCGAAGGCAAAGTAACAGTTGTAGTGCCACTTACAGATTTCAATAACAACGGCCACTGCGCCTGTTACTGGGACAAAGTTGACAATGTAACTGTAATTTCAACAGCACCCTTTAAAACCAGAACGCAGTAAAGCTCACATTACTGCGTGGCGGCAAAAAGAGTTATGGTAATTCATTTGTAAAAATGACATACTGCCCCGTTTTTAGTACCTCGTACTGCCCCTATCCTGGGGCATAATGGGGTTTTCTTAGGGTACCAGAATAATTTAGAATAATAAGCCAGTTGATTAATTTTTTAACCGAAGAATATGGCAAATTATACTTTAAGATAGCAACAAAGGGTTGTGATTAGTTTTTATAAAACGTACATTTTTATAGCATTACTTGGTACTTGGTGTAACGGGCTAGTGTAGCATTATAGCATTATTGGAGTTTTCCCTTAACGTCCCCGTCATGCCCTTCCTTCCCCTATTTGTATTTTGCACGGATATTTGTAGTACCGTCTATGTTTTCGATTTCCATAACACAAGTGCTTTCAGATCAGAGCAACGCATGCTATGTTGTCTAATATTGTTTTTCTCTTTGCCTGTTAGGTGGTTTTATTATCATTCTGATATTTGTTAAACAACAATATTTATAAATTTATTTATTTGGTATCTCAACAGAATATATACAATATGAAAGAAGGCTGGCGACATCCCGTGTATTTTGTAACCCGTTTTTGACGACGTGCATTAAAGAGACCTATCATTACTTGTGATTCATAATCAAAGCATTAAAAAAGCTAATTGAGTTCAGCCTGTAAAAGCTGGGGTTATAAATGTTTATATTATTATCCTGTATTTACAAAATAAAAATGTGAATTTGGACAAAACAATTATACGTACAAAGACCCTTCTTTGGTTCGGGTTGTTGTGGTTGGGTCAGGGTCTGTAAGAGCTGATCGCGAACATTGTTTACCACACCGGGAACGTCCGCCTGTAGGTTCGTTGCTGCACCGAGAGCAGTCGCCTGTAGGTTCGCTGCCGCATCGAGAGCATTCGCCTGTAGGTTCGTTGTAGCATCGAGAACATTCGCCTGTAGGTTCGTTGTCGCTCCGAGAACATCCGCCTGTAAGGGCGCTCCTGCACCGGGAACGTTGGCCTGAAGAGCACCCTAAGAAATACAGGGTATTAGGCGTAAAACAATAAATACAGCAGAAGTGCTTAGTTTGCGTGCCACGTGTGCGAACAGTTTGCGGAGTTCCGCAAACTTGAACTCAGCCCGCCATTTTCGCTTTGCACGTTACTGTCGTGTCAAATTTTATTTTATATGTTTATATTCTTAGAATAATAACGCATAGAATGATAGTTTCATATCAAACGAACTGTCACAAGTGAGGCAAAAATCAAATTCATGTAGGCTAGTTTTAGTAGTAGGTTCATTTTTGGTTTTAGTGAATATTTATATAAAAATACAAGTTGAAACGCGTTACTTCCTTGTGGAATGTGATGTTAGTATCTATTTTATGTTTGTCTGACGTATTTTTACACTCATTTACCGCACATTTCGTCATTTTTAGCTAAAATTCTTGATCTGTTCGCGGTGTTGACCTTGAGCACTGAAGGCCCGCCCGCTCGTGTAGGCCCTTTTGGCGCGCTTCAATTTGCCTCACTTAGCGTGTGCGGACTAGGTTTCTTTGCGTTATTATTCTAAGTTTATATTATTATATTATACTATTTCGGTACTTTGGAGTGTTAAAATGATTGTCACTTCTATAAGGTGCTGTTTCGTATTATCACTAAGTCTTAGGGCGCGTTCAAGTTAGCTGCTGTTAGAAGCGCTGCAGCCGCGCGACGGCCGCCCGACTGTCGCGCTGCAAATGCGACCATATTTTTTAGTGATGTTGTATATTTCGACTCAGTTACGCGATGGATTTTGAAGAAGAAACATTACTTGTACTTATTTTGTTAAAAATAAAGAAGAAATAATTAAAAAGAATATCAGAACGTATTGATTATATACGTTCTGATATTCTTTTTAATTTTTGTCTTTTTCTCCTTTTTGACAAAAAGAATACTACAGGGTTCGGCAATATGACGACGACGAAAATTCGAAAATTACATTAGAATCATATTTATGGAATTACTTCAACTCTTGGAAAGCCATGTTCAACGACAAGAAGCCATCTTCGGAAACATTATTTGTGCAGAAGAACTACTTATAATTACGCTGAGGTGAGTAAAAAATTCGGAAACACTATCCTATATTTTAAAATTTTTATTGAATTGATATTTAATATTTTTTTTGTGAAATTGTTCCACTAGTTTGTTATATTTTTTTCTGAGTGTTCTATCTTTGTATTAATAATTATAACAAACTATCCCATATAGCAGGGTGTTGTTTTACATTGTCCATAAATTCTTCAATTTGATTTTCATCCATCGTGGTTCGTTTGAAAAATTAACATATACACCTCACTAACCGTGACTGCAGCGCAGACTGTGCGCGCAATTTGAACATTTTGAACGCGCCCTTATATTATTTAATTTTAATAAAGGACAATGGTAAACGACGTTCATGAAAAATATATGAAAATATAGAGTTGAAATACCTGAACAATTTTTGTTTTGGGTTTACTATTCTGAAAAAGTCTGGAATTGAAGATATTCCAGTTAGAAGCTTTGGAGGTTATATGTTACGTAATTGAATAAAATATATTCGATGTATTATTATATCAAAATAAACTACAGAAGCTTTAAACAGAGTTTAGAGTAAAGAGCAGACGACATTATTTTGTATACTGGTATAAAAGAAAAGAAATTAAGCTACAACAAAAAACTGAGTGAATTAATAACATACCACAGACTATTGCAATGGTAATTCGGACACAAATTATTTTTCTGTGAAATGTGCCATCTATCGCTGATTTTGGGAACTTTTTGTCAGTTTTACCATTTTCTTTTTGGAATTTTGGAACATTTGAAGACGCTAACGAATCTTTTAACCATGATTTTGCCATTGATATTTTATGTATATCAAATCTTAATCACTTTGTTACAAGAAACGAAAATACCCGCTGCAATATGGTCGCTTATTTTTTTGCAGAACTAAGTACGCATCTCTTCGTCGTTCAACTATTAACCGCTACACGCCACCATAATGCAATATTGAGTGTGTGCGTTATTATATTGATTGAAATTTCAACATAAAATCTTTCAACGTTATGCCAGCAGGGTGAAGTTTAAATTATATTAACAGTCCAGAATTTAATTTTTTTATTAAATTGACATTCAATTTTAATAATGTGAAATTACTCCACTAGTTTGTTATAATTATTAATACAAAGATCGAACAATCAGAAAAAAAATCTTCCGTGATTTAGTTGGTATAGCGTCTGCCACGGTATGCTAGAAGACGTCGGTTCGAATCCGGCCGGATGGAATGATTTTTTTCTGAGTGTTCGATCTTTGTGTTAATAATTATAACAAACTAGCCCAGAATTTGTTATTCCTTTTTAGATTTGTGAGTCTTTATGCAAGGGCTCAGATACAACGCACTGAAAAGTGAGTGCATGGTATAAAGCAGATAGTAAAACATATACCACAGTGCCTTCCATTGATCTAGGCGGTATTCCTCTAAAGCAGATAAAACTATCTAAGTATCTGGGTCACTTGGTCACCGAGGACCGATGCGATTATGCCGATGTGGAAAGGGAGCGCAGGGCGCTCGCTGTCCGTTACAATATATTGGCTCGCAGGTTTGCACGATGTACAAAAGATAACGTTTTTTAAAGCATATTGCCAGTCTTTTTACACGTGTAGCCTGTGGGTTAGTTACACGCGGTGGGCATACGGAGCACTGCGCATCCAGTACAAGAATGCGTTCAGGATGCTGTTCCGGCTTCCACCTTTCTGTAGCGCGTCAACCATTTTTGCTGAGAAACACGTAGAAGATTTCTACGCTATCATCCGAAAGCGTAGTGCATCGCTATTCCATCGCATGCGTCTCAGTACGAACGGCATCCTGAGCACATTCATGGATCTGATGGGAGTCCCCTATGCTCGGGCGGTGGAGGCGCTTGCTCGCTACTGCCAATGCATTGCCAGTTGTCCTGACATTGGCTGGGTACGTTATGTTCCCATGTTAATACCTATATATAACTTTGTTTCATTTTATTGTTTTAAACTTAACACTAGTACAAGCATTTTTCTTTACTTACAAATGTTATGGATGAATTTGTCTGAAATAGTTACCTATTAATAGTCCGAAATGATGTTTTCCAGACGTTTGCTCGAATTTTCATAACCTCGAAAGTAATTTTGAGAGGAAAATGTTTTTTCTTTTAAACCTAACCTAACCTAACCGAAACTAATCGTGTCTTTGCGATAAACATCCAACGTATCCTGAAAGAACAACGGTTTCGTTATAATTCGGTTTTCGGTGTAATGAAAATTCTAACAAACGTTATTTCGGGAAAAAAATCGAGTTTGTGATAGGTTACCATCCATTATTATTAAGATTTCATAGTGTCTCAAATAATGAATGTGTTTTTCCTTCTTTACCTCACACTGGTTGCAGTTTGTCGCCAGTTCGCATGCGCCAAAAACAGATACTCAGAACTCTGCGCGGGCCAGATGGGATTCCAGCAATAGTCCTGCGTAACTGAGCGCCAGAGTTGTCTCCTGTTCTCACGCGCTTGTGTCGCCCCTCACTTGAGACTGGTGTAGTTCCAGGACGTGGAAGCTTGCGAACATGCAACCTGTGCACAAAAAAGGAAGCAGAGCTGACCCTGTCAACTATAGATCTATCTCAGTCACCTTTATAATCTGCAAGACTATGAAACGTGTACTTAATAACCGTCTCCTGTCGTACCTTGAATACAACTTCTCAGTGATCGCCAGTACGGATTCCGACGAAGGCGATCTACTGAGGATCTTCTTGTGTACGCCTCTCACTTATGGAGCGAAGCCATTGCAGTTTCTTTAGACATTTCTAAGGCCTTTGACAGGGTCTGGCACGCAAGCCTTTTAAGCAAGCTTCCGTTTTATGGACTTCTCACTGACCTTTGCAATTGGATTTCGGATTTCTCGAGTGAACGTTCGATTCAAGTGGCCTTAGACGGCTACTCTTTCGAACATCGGGCGATAGATCCGATAGAGGGCCGGAGTCCTCAGGGTTCTGTACTGTCCGCCACCCTCTTTCTGCTGTATATCAATGATATGTTAATTCCAGGTATGCTGGTATTCCATGCGTATGCTGATGACAGCACAATTCTTGACAGGTACTAAACCAATGCGAGGGTCAGTGGAGAGGAAATCCAGTCTTGTCAAGAGTCCATGGTTAGATTAGGTTACGGAGGAGGGACCGGAAGATGTCTAGCTCATCCTCTACTAGCTCTCCGGGCTAGTGCCGGAGATGCCAAGTTTCAGTGTCCTGCGACAATGTCCGGATCTAGCCACCGGTTTAAAGGGCAACTCGCGTGGCCCGCGCATCTCCTCGCCTTTGGCCCTCAACTAGACCGCTGCTAAGGCGTGCTAGCTGCGCGCCACCGGGGCAGACGACTTGACTTGGCCCGGACGCCCGCCGTGCCCTGGTCTCTCCGGAAAAACTTATCTCTCGGGTCGGTAGACATTAGTAGCTCTAGCTCATTGTGAAAGAGTGCCACTTTACCTTACCTGTTTCTGCCGCCAAGCGGTAATGCGAGCATTACTGTGTTCCGGTTTTGAAGGGTAAGGGTGCTGGTGAAATTACAGGCACATGGGACTTGTCAACTTACGTCTCAGGGTGTCGGGCGCAGTGGCAGTGCCCCTCAGATCGTTGTAGTTTAAAACTCTCGAGTGGCACTGCAACTGTTATGGACAGGCGTGTCGCTTACTACCAGGCGCACGACTTGTTCATCCCGTCACTTATTCTTACTACTACATAAAAAAGAAAAACCAATTACGCATAGGTAAAATTTTAAATTACTATCTCCCACCGGTGTATGCAGAGACTATGGTTAAGCTTATAAATTTTCAAACTTCTATTCAAGTAGTAAGTTATCTAGTAATAACCGATTGTAGAATCTTTAAACTGATGAGAGACCTGCAGATCAACGGAATATCCTTAGGTGCTATAAATTGTATAGGTATTAAGCAATCCCCGCACGAAACAGGCAAAAAGACGGTTATTATTTGTTGAATCGGGTCTACAACAGCGCCGTCTAGACATGTAAGTTATAGTTTAGGGTACAGTTACGATGGAACTGGCATATACATTGTATAAAAATTACTAAATAAATAAAGATAAAAAATCTTTACACCTCTGCTGAAAATTGTAAAAAGGGCAATTATGTATACTTACAGCAGCAGCTGATACAAAGCCTTTGGCATTGTCCATTACAGTGATACCTATAAATGTGTTTTCGGCTTTTGATGAAGAATTTTAATCTTTATTTTGTGTGAAACAACATTTTTATTTGTTTATGTCATTGTGAAACCGTGTCCACTTTATTTCCAATAAAAATTTGAACTTTACATTTTTGTAACAATTGTTTGAAAGTAAACAAGGCTTCAATGTGGCTTCAATTGGGATGTTATAATAAAAAAACCATTTTTGTTTCCATCCTGATTAAGATGAATGATGGTGTTGTCGTTTTTATTACAATTTTAACGGCTTTAGCCATGCAATCTATCTTCATTTATATAAAAAAAAACTTTATTTTGGTTTCACTTTTCATGTTTTTTTTTTTATAAATCTACACCATGCTACTTAGAGGATGGAAATTCCATAGTTTAAGCCATGCTTTGAGTCCTTAGAGGATGGAAAAAAAACAGACTAGTCTAAGTATGAGTCATAGGTTCCCAAATATTTTGTCTCACCACCCAAGGCAAGAAAAAACAAATTTAAACGCTCACACCACAAATACACGTATTTTTTATATTAACTTAACCCAAAAATTCACAAGGAAAAAACATTATATATATTATGTAGTGTAGTTTATATACATAATTCAGATTTTTTGTGCGGCAGCACCCCTTGGACTGCATCAATACCCCCCCAATCGCTTCCGAGGATATAAGCCCCTCTAGGACTCTTCAGGGCCCACTAGGCGGCGGTAGGTACCACTTTGGGAATTGCATTGGGTAGACAAAGGTTCCACCACACAGCCTCTTCATATGTTTAGTATCTGTTATTGTTTTGACAAGTGATGGAAAAGTCGACTTATATGACAATGATCTTCTTTTTTCCTTTTTTCTTTTATGATAGCAAGAGACGGGACGAACAAGCCATTCGCCTGGTGGAAAGCGACACGCCTGTCCATAACAGTTGTAGTGCCTACCACCTTAAAAATTACGATGTAGTGGTTTTTTTAAATTTAATATTTATGCTATTGCAAAAAGGAAGACATTACATTGTTGCAGGGATCAAAACTATTCTAGAAGCTGTGTTCAAGATTCTACAGCTTTGCCTATACTAAATCCGTATCATCTTTATATCTCAAAAGGTGACTCGGATTTAATAGAGGACAAGAACGAGTCTCCAACACACGTATGATGTGATTGCACAGAAGTTGAGAGAGGAATTTCCCTCACAGATAGATTACGCCCGAGAATTTTATTATAGGCGACAGGGGCCTAATGAATCGCTGATAAGTTATTTTTATAGTTTAGATGAGTTAGCGATGAAGGCGAATATTCAAGATGTTCAGTTTATTAGACATTTCTTGAAGTCTTTAATGCCCAATTTTCAATGGATGCTGGCTAGTAATTTGTATTTATCTAAAGAGGAGTTGAGAAAAACAGTTATATTAGTAGAAGATCTTGACATATTACATATTACATCCTAGTCTGAAACGAAAAAATTTGTAAAAATGTGAAATAAACCAAATCTTTGAAGTTAATCCCAGTTTATATTCTTAGAAAAACCTCTCGCTACGCATTAGAGCTACGACCCAGTTACAAATGGGTATTTATAACTGTATTTTTTAAAACACCATTTTCCAGTCCTTTTTTTATTGCGTGCTCCAAATGGAGCTTCTCTTCTTGTCCAACAAATATCTTTGGTAATAATAATAAAACCAACCAAAGACAATTAAATTATCTGTCAAACAAACTTCTGAACACAATTTATATAAACATAAATAGTAATGTTCCTTTCATACAACGATTTATGGCAATTACAAAGAAAATGGACACCGAATTAAATAATTACAATAAAAAAAGATAAATTAAAAGAAAAAAGATAGTTTGAGAACAGGTAATGGTGTAAAACATTTACGTATTTATATTTACGACTGTCTGTACCGAACGTGAGTTTCAATGCCGTTAACAGAAAAAAACCTTTTCAGGTGTACAGCCCTAAACATTTGTTGAGATTACGGCATTATTATTAAGGCACTTACCCCTAAATGGGCCGAGAAACTGAATTACAGAAATAGATACACGAAGACTGTAGACTTATAAATTGTTACACATGATTAGCTTATTAACAGCTCCGACAGTTGTGGCGGTCGAGCTGGGAGTGACCGTGGTACGAAAACAAAATAATAATATATAATAATAATAATAATCTTTTAGGCCTTGGGAGAGGCGAGAGTTTAAAATAAATACGATGATAATAATAATAAATTTATTCAATTTAAACATACAGCACTTAAACTAGATGACCACAATAAGGTACAATTCGATTGTATGGGCAGACAAAAGTTGAACCATCATAACCTATTCTAGGTACAAAACCTGTGTTAATAGTGTTACGAAGATTCTCCGTTTTGGCAAAATCAGAAAAGAAAACAATCTTTGAACTGCGGCTAAAACTGAAATAGTGTAGTGCAGTGCCGTGAATCTAGTGTAGAGCAGCAATAGCAGTAATAAAAAGTAAGTAGAAAGTATGTGTAAGTGTGTGTGTGTGTGTGTGTGTGTGTGTGTGTGTGTGTGTGTGTGTG